TAGCATTATATATATTATTTACTTATTTATTTATATTTATTATTTATTTAATTGTTTATCACACCTCGGCAGAATTTCCCTCTTGAAAAAGTAAGAGCAACCCAACACACTTCAGATATCATAAAACAGCATGGGATTCACCGAATAACCTACGTGGCTCCACATGAAAAAAAAATTCAGGCGAGCTCGCACCCCGACATTTCCCACTGAAATATCTACGAGAGAAAAGAAAAGCCTCCAGTAAAAGCTTCCAGGCCATTAAGCTCCGCATAAAAATGGAAGAAATCCAATTTCTGGAGGGTTCTTGGATGGATTAATTTTGCAGAGCGATGCCCGCATTTCACTACTGGATTCTCTCACTGGAAACTGGAAAAACGACCCGACCGCAAATGGGGGATTGATCTTCCATTTGTAGAATAGGCAGGGTCCTGTGCTTTATCAACCTGCTTCTTCATTACTGCGAACAGCGTAAAAATCAACGGAGAGCGCTGTTGAAGTTGCCAATGGTCAACACATGTTACAAACATATGCGAATTACGTAACAGGACATATGCGAATTACGCGCATGCAGCGCGTGTAAGCGAAAATCGATGAAAGTAGCATATCATGTGGCACTCCTCAATAGTCCGTCGGTCGGTTTTGGTAACCTGCGCACTTTGTAGCCGTTATTATTGCTTCCTTGGTGGGCCTACTTTCTCAACCAGGGTTTAGCATCAGCACTGGGGAATGGTGGTGTCAATATGTACGCCCCACTTTCCTAATTTCCTCCGCCGGTACGCCCCCTCTTACAACCTTCTGACCAGTTACCAATTTTCACCACACTTGCGCTATTAAAGTGGGGAGGGCAGACACCTCTGATCGCCTTTCAGAAAAGTATTATTGCCGAGCCGTCAACTAGGGTGATACAGCCTGGTTCGCTGCGGATGATGGGGTGGGACTTGACAAGGGGGGAACCTGTTTGGCGCAACGCCAGTCTGTTTTTTTTTCTTCTGGCAAGCGACAAGACCGTATCATATCGTTCTATCAGCCGTTTTTCACCACTCTTTTGTCGCTTACTGCTTTAGCAAGCTGGTGGAGAAGGCTCTTCGCCGCGTTAGAATCCATGCCTCGATGACACGCCCCGATTAACTTTGGTGATATATAGCTATAATAGTGCTCATAAAACTGGCGAGCTCCACAATCGGAAAATCTTTTCTCCACGCGGAAAACGACCCTCCTCTTCCAGTGATCGAATGCGACCCATGTGATGGATTTTTCTCAATGAATGATTCTTTCCCGACCTTTTCTTTACCTTCCCCCACCCCCATACCTAGCGCACCTTCACAAAATGTACCTCATTTCTCCCTGGACGAGTCCACTATTCTAGCACATTTTCGAGATCCGTTCCACTGACATGTGCTCTATTAGTGGCGCATTTTTTCAGACCTAATGTCCTATTTCCAGATTCTCGGTGACTGTTACTACTGTGTTAGTGGCTTGCCGGATGTCAACCATCATCATGCCGCATGTACCGTCGAAATGGGACTCGATATGATCGAAACTATTAAGTATGTCTGCTTCCTTATGATTAATGTCCAATAATGTAAGAGAGTATCACCTTGAATTCTCCGGTTCTACCAGCTTCCCCACCGTAGGAACATGAACTCGGAAAACCTTTTTTATTCAGATTGGTCAGAGATATGACACGAGTCAATGTGAACATGCGAGTCGGCATTCATTCTGGTCGAGCTCACTGCGGTGTGTTGGGGCTGAAGAAGTGGCAGTTCGATGTGTGGAGCGATGACGTCACTTTGGCAAATCATATGGAAAGTGGCGGTCTGCCTGGGTGAGTTCTGCAGCACATATAGTTGTGAACAGCCTAACTTGTTCTCCTTCTGTTAAGACCGCTTTCATATTCATCGAATACGCGAATCCCAGATTGCGTCTGTGGACGAACGCGCTCCACTGTTGATCGTTGGACCGTTGCAGCTGCTGCTTCAATCACATTTGAGACCGAAGTTTTCTTGATCTCTCTAGCAATCCAGCGATTAGAGGTGGTCCGCGGAGTGAGGCTTTTCTCAAATCGATTGCACCGCTCGAATCGCGGAGCATAAAGGCAACCTCATACCCTCTCAGCTACGGGGTCTTGAAAGGAGCAGGGCAGGATCAAAGTGAAAGTGCTGAGAGGGCATGGTTTTGTACGGGACGGGTTTCTTTTTACTCAAGCATTCATGAGGACACTCGTCTTCAGCTCTGTATCGCCGTGATAATCAATATTCATCGGTGCGATGTGGAAGAGGCGTGGCTCTGTATGAGGCGGGGTTTCTCTCTAACTACTCAAGCGTCTGTGATGAGACTGATCTGTCTTTCTAGCCTTCTTTCTTGTCGCGGCCAATCACCCAGCTCTTTGTCACTTATTCTCAGAAAAACCGTGAAAATGTCGATCTCTCGAAAAACCTGGAAAAACGCTCGTTTTCCAGGCGTGTTCACATCACTCAAGCCACACTGGACTCGTTGAGCGGTGAGTACGTCGTCGAAGAGGGTAACGGAGCTGAACGATCAAAATACCTTCGCCGAACACAATGTGCACACCTACTTGGTCGTCAAAGCCAAAAATAGCCAAGGATCTACACGACCGGCTGCAAGACTGGTAATTTTTTTTACTATAACACTACGTTTTGGTAGTTTCTATCTGTCTTATAATTACAATCACGTATCATTCCATATTGAGACAAAAAAAGATGAATTTAAAGACACATTCCGCGATAATCAGATGGGCGGAGACTCACAACCATTGTACCCCTCTGCGTTGTTCCCTCCGACTTGGAAAGGACAAGAGGGGTGCACTAGTGGAGAATACACCATGGTTGTGAACCCCGCGGATAACGCTGCCAGCGTGAATAGAGCGCGTACCTTTGAATGTGCCTAGTGCGTCATATTGAATTATTAAAAATCCCCCGGTACTCTTATATATTGTAACTTCCATATTATTTATGTCTATTTTTACGCTTGCATCTTCTAGCAAATGAACAAGGAGCTTCGCCTGACTGGACACGCCTCAGCACTACAAAGGGGCCAGAGCCTCAGGTATGACTTCCAATAGCCCATATTGAGCAAAATTTAGCCCTCCAAAAGTATATTGTTTAAGGCAAGCGGTTAAGCCAACAAAACCGTTGAGGGACGACGTCGAATCGCATCTGAAGCAGGGAATTCCAGGCCATTAACAAGGAGAGCTGGCGACAAACTCACTGCCATCGGATCACTTTGAAATTCAAGGAGAGCAACGTTGAAAGAAGGTTTTCGTTTTTTCACGTTTTTTTCATTTGTACCAAAATCAGTCAGATAACTTAATTTTGTGAAAAAAGTATCCAGTGGAATGACCGATAATGGTAGTGAGCCAGCTCCACTGGTGAGAGAGTTTATGGGGGAAAAGGGGGAGTGAAATATACTTGCTGTGGATTTTTAGGGATATCTTTGGAAGGGTAGTGATGATAACAGGGTCCTCAGACGTTTATTGGATTAAAATGTTGAACGAAAACAAGAAAAAGTTCCTAATTATACCTAATTCACACGGCCGAAAAAAAAACAAATGAGCCTGGGGGAAGTGCTAAAAGTTTACTTTTCAGTTCCTGGAAATCAAAGAATCTGCACTGCTAGCACAAATTTGCTGCTACTTTTTCATTTTTATTCTGGCTTGTTGGATACTGATCATTGGAAAACTGGGGTACGTTATCCATTTATTGATCATTTTAGTTGAAATTTGCAAAAATGAAAACTTGGAGACGATTTCAGCAGTTCTGCAATGTTTCTCTGCATGATCGTTGCATTCATTGCTCTGGTTTTCCTGCTCGTCTATATCGCTGCAAAGGCATTTTTGGTAAGTTTCTAGAAAATGAATATTTTGGAGGCCTTTGAGAATTAACGGAGTTCTTCAATAGCTCGTTTTCAGCTCCGAAATGCTAAAAGAGGAGCGAAAAAGTTGAAGTGTTCACGGGCTGTGCGAATCGTCTTCATTTGTGCCATCCTGCTTCTTGCACATTCGGTTATCATCAGTGTCAGTTTGTCTTAACTGCTTTTTTAGGTGTGAGGAATGCACGCTGTAGGTTGGGGTTGCCCGACAGCGGGGAGGGGATTCGCTATTGGTCGCTGCATGGAAAGGGCGGGGACTGGGAAATTTTTTTCCTGTTTGTTGGTTTTCCTGTTTCACACGCACGCACCACTCCACCTCCCCTCTGCTCCACCCCACCCCCTCAATTTAGTGGGCGGCTTAAGACTGTAATACTTTTTCTGATAGTTGATCGAAGGTGTCTATCCCCCGCCCCGCTCGACGGTAAATTTTATAGAACTCTCGGTAAAATGATCGATTGGTTGTGGATGGAGTGGGGGCGTACTGTGCGAAGAGGTACACTCTTTATCCCTGAGACGGAGTAGGCGTGGCTTTTGAGCATGGCATAGGACGGGTTTCTCGTGGGATACTTCAATTTGAAACAACTGCTATCTTGTTCTGTGTTAGATGTAGACATGATTACGACTGCTCCAAAATGACAATATCTCGAAAACCTGGGCCGCCGCCATTTTAAAATCAAGTACGCAGCCACGCCTACCCGATCTCAGGGATTTCAATATTCGAGTATATTTAAGGGGAGAACTAATTGAACAGAGTTTCTTTTCAACGGCAGTACTTTCCTTGACCAGTATACCAACCCAACCTAGTTCAGAGTCGCTGGACTCACAGTTGCTTTTTCCATAGTGCCATGATTGATCGAACTGATTTTTAGGCTTTGGACACCGATCAATGCACTTTTGAATGCACTACACAAGGTCCGATACTCAGTAATTCCTCCTGTCATGACGTTTCATCTGGGCAAGCCGAGGTAAAGAATCTTCAGTACTTCCTTTTTGTGGTATGACTGCAGGTGCTAACCTATTGGGGGGAGGGCACGCGGCTCGCGGCGAGTGATGACTCATCGGTTCTTCTCCCTCCTCGGCAAAAATAGAAGTAATTTCATGTTTAGGACATGAATATAATACTTTCCTGGCCTGTTACAAAAGTCAAAGGCAGTTAAACGCCGAAATATGCGAAGAAAGCAGTTTGTTAGGTTCGAAGATTCTTGCGCTGGTAAACTAACAGAAAAAGATTGCTAGCCTGTTTGTTGTTGACTTTGATTGTTGACTAGTTCAGACATTTGTTTCCGGCTTCTGTGGGATTTCTCAGCAAATTCCCGGTGAATCTTGTTTGTTTTATTCTAATTTATCTGCCAGAATCGCTCTTCAAGTATGCCCATGAGTGAAGAGCCGATGCCAGTCATCACGTGGGTGTGTGTGTGTTCTTAAAAGATCTCACTTCACACCTATCATGCCTCTCGGGAAGACTCGCCTGCGGTGTTGCCTGACTTAATTGCTCTCTCACTAACTCCTGACCTCTCCTCTACAGACACGACTGAGCCAAACTGAACATGGAAAGAAGAAGGAAAAAAATAAACGTTGGAAAAACAGAAAAAAATGTTTTCATAAATTCAATTGTCAAGAACACATTTAACCACTTAGAGCAACTGAAATGCAGACGTACACAACATGACATTAAAATGGGAAAAATTGCAAGTTAAATGGGAGAAAGGGCACGTATTGAAAAATTTTTTATTGTTCTCATCATGGAAGGTATTCCAAATGATTTGAACTTCTAGGCTCTGTAATTACTTGGAGGCTATGTGTTCTGCGCCAAGAACAATTGGACCAAATTGATGGCCATCTATAGGGAGGGTAATTCGTTAAATATGACCGTCAGTACTTTTAACTGTTGAACATCTCTTTTACCAACCTCACACCTAATAATAAAGGTGTGTTATAATCAGTAATAGCGAGCTGATTAGCGGAAATTTTAGCTTGTTGCTTGACTAGTTACACGAGTAGGAGCATAGAACATAACATTTCACTGCCCTTTCTCGTTCCGCATCAATTCTCTGGTTATCCCTGATGTTCCAGCAGTACATCACCCTTTCCCCTTTTATTTATATTAAACGTTTTCTTTTCATTTGATTGTCGCACTACCATGATTGCGTTGCTACAAACAACCTCATCGGTTTCTCTCGGGAGCAGTATACTACTATGCATGTGCCGTTTCCCTCGTTTTATGTTTAACTGGAAGCACACACCTCGACGCCACACATTTCGATGGGATGAACTTCGGCTCAACTCTGCCCTGCTCTTAACGCGCCGGCTTCATTGTCATATCCACCATCAGCACACAACTCGCTCATTTCACTTGCACATACCTCCACTCCAGGTTCCTAGCAATCTTCAGATTCCCTTTCAGCACCAGCAGAAACACAACCACAGAAATACATGGGCGAACGACAGGTAAGCAAATATGGAAAACGAGATGTAATAATTTACAGGATTGTGGCCCCCAGTCATTCGTTCACTTTTTATTACATATCGACCAAACACTACGAGGTTACGAACGGTAAGAAATAACGTGCGGAAAAATGTCTAAATCATTTGATGACACTACCATCTAAGCCTCAATTTAATTCGAATTTAATATAATTCTAATGTTTGATGTTCATTTTAATTTATTTTAGCATGCTTTTTATCTATGATTGTTTCATGTGATTCAAATTTTTAATTGTAGTCCTTAATTCTATCAAATTTGCTAAAAAATCAGCAGTAACTAATCAGTCATCATGATGTAATCGTCAAGTAGAGGAGAGGTCAGGAGTTAGTGAGAGAGCAATTAAGTCAAGCAACACCGCAGGCGAGTCTCCCCGAGAGGCATGTTAGGTGTGAAATGAGATCTTTTAAGAAAGTCCTACACCCACT